AGGAGGCTGGACGACCAAAAATTTGTTGTAACTTAATAGTGAAACTAACCTTGGATGCAGGGTTACCAGCGTAAAAGCTTTTAGTAATGCACAAGTGAGAAACAGCTACACTAGAGTAACAGGGTACCCTATCAAGATTGATGCAAACAAGTGCTATTTGATCTTTTTAGACAGTTTACACAAAAACCTATAGGTCCATTTGGTTGGATTTTCCTTATCTCTGCCCCCTTCTTTGACCGCTTTGACATCTCTTTCCACAGGCGCTCAGCAGAGCCGACAGCATGAGAGCACGAGAGAGGACGCGTACTGCCCCAGAGCGCGCGCGCGCGAGGTCTAAGAGGTTTGAAAAAAAAAGGGCATTCAGTCTTTCTACAGAGCGCAAGGACAATGCCTGCCTCACTATTTAAAACGAAATTGCAGTTTATTGCTTAGTAGATTATAAGAAACATTCAAGAGGAACACAGCCACACTGAGATAGACCGAGAGAGAGAGAATGGATTAACTACATCAATCGTTGTTATCGTTTTAAATGCCTTGAAGACCAGTGTTGACCAGGCAAAACAAGTAAGCCATTTAGCGCCGGGCACACATCGCAGAGAGCGGCACGTGTAGGATGACGTTCTTCGTGTACATTAGAGCACGCGAAGCAAGAGATCTTTTAGTGTTAGGTGGGCACCGTTAGATTCTGTGTCTTTTACGATCATAAACGATGTGTTGGATGTCCCAGGCGTAGGGATATGAGTGATAAAGGGAGCTAGGATGATTCAGTGCGCTACGCTAGGTGAGGCATACTCCTGGCACATATGCAGAGGCGCGACAAGCCCGTCTAGGCACTTACAGGCATCGACAAATGGACTTCAAGCGGCGTCGCCAGCGCATTCTCACATGCGCATGAAGGGTGACGTAGAACTCTGTAGCTTACCACCAGTGATTGCGAGACAGCATAGGCTTTGCACAGCATCACCTCGCAGGACTCACAGGGCCATCAACTTATGTGTGAGGCTTCGACGCTTGCATCAGCGCCAATCAAAGTCGCGTGTTTCCATGCAACATCCCCGCCGACAGGCAAGCGCTAGCCAATCAAACGCGTGCAAGCTGGGAGAGCAGACCGCAGTTCATTCCGGGCTTTCCAGGGCAAGAGGGCCTTCCTCATATTCCAAACGAAGATATTAGCGGTCATCGCCAAATCACACGGGTTCTTTAACGCCGAGGACACTATTTAGGACCGGGATACACAACCGAGAACAGCATGGAGGGAGGTGAGCAGAGACAGTGGGTGAACAGCTGGGTAGCTTTTTCGCGCCGTTTGGAGAGTTCTATAGTCCAGTTTACTATCCTTTTAACATGTATTGCTTTGCTAGGGGCCTCGGGCGGGAGATTCATTGACCCTGGTTTGCGTTGGCGCGCAACAAAAATCGACAAGCTTCAGGACACGCCAGTCTCAAGATTTTTTGATGCCTGTAGCTGCAGAGCTACAGGGCGCGCACCGTCTCTAGGCAATCGCGCCATCGGGTTCTTTTGAAAAAAAAAATGAAAAAGATCAGTTAAATGAGTTTTTTCCCGTTATATGGATATCAAATATTCATAGTTTATTAAATATTAAGGTTCCTTAGACGTTGTTTCCTGCAAATGACGTGATTTCGGCCCCGGAATCGGGTCCGTGGGGCTTAAGAGTTACCTTGGATAATAACAAGTTCAATAAAAAAAAAATGCAACAGTAAACTATGTTAGTGATAGTACATGATGTCAAACAATAAAGAAAGAAATAATGATAATAATAAATAGAGCAAAAATAATGAATAATACATACAAATAATAACCATCTCTTGTCAGCTGTATTTCACAAAAGAATGCATTAAAATATATTAAAATGACTTCAAATGAAAACAGACCACCTTAGACAACATACTGTCATTCAGATAAAATTAGCATATTCTAATGTTCAATTTCATTAACATTTTAAAGGAAATGGACAAAGACTTACTTTACTTGATAGTGATGGTCTTACCGTGATTCCTACAATATACACGAACCGCCTGTCAACTGGAATATAATAGCAAACTGTGCTAGATTATTCAGTTTCTCGACAGTGATGTTTCCGACAGTCCTTGAATGCAGCACAGAGATAGCTGCTCCTCTGCTCCAGAGAGAGAGAGAGAGAGAGAGAGAGATTCACTCTGAGCGCCGAGCGGTGCTCCCACCCATTCAGCTGTGCGCCAAGGGGAACCCCTGACAAGTTTTAAACTGGAATAAACATTTTGTGACTCCAGCGAACGGCGAATTTATTCTGACTTTTGTTTCGAAGGGGTGTGCTTTCACGGAGGACGATAGTAGTTTTATTTTACCCCAAAAGACAACAGCAACTGACTGAACGCTTCCAGTGAGCCGTGTGTGGAACGTGTTTTCCCGGGGAGACTTTTTGTTTAGGGTCAGCCTAACGTTCGCTGTGGGGACAAACAACCACTGGTGCGGTTTTTCCGTTTAGAGAGACTTTTCAAGAAAAATATCCTTATTTTTTGTTCCTGCTTGGCGTTTTGGAGTGTGCTGGCTTTAAGCTGTGATGTGGAGAGAATTGATCAGCAGTGAAGCGCCAGACAGCGATAGCTAAGCTCATCTCACCAACCAACGACCACCACCACAACACAGGTACTTTAATTTAGCACATACATGCTACATGCGCGTGCTGTGTGTGACGTGCTTTCTTTTACATGACTTTGCTAGATAACGTAACTCAGACTTGTAGTGTGTGTTTAGTGGCCAGACGGTGACATAGGCTAATGCTAGACGGCGCGCATGTGTGTAGTGAGTGTGTGTGTGAGAGAGAGTGGAGCTTGTGTGTTTGTGTTTGTGTGTGTGCGTGTGTGTGAGGGGGCTTTGGACACTGTCTGCCCGGCTAGTCATGGCTTGCCTGGAGTTTGGTAATCTCCACGTAGAGACAGAATTGCACACAGAAGCCCATTCAAATAAGCCCAATATTACGCATTTAGCACTCGTCGTACAGCATACACATAACTAAGGGAGGGGATTAGGGCCACAAGAGAAGAAAAACAATTGGGATGTGATTATTATTTTTTTTTATAATAATTGAGTTCTGACTTTATTTTCAGTATTTTTAGGGAAAAAAAATCAAAACTGTACGATTAAAGTCAAAAAATTCTGAGAAACAAAATCGGAATTCTGGGATTAAAGTCAGAACTCAACCTTTGTTTTTACTTTTGGTCACATCCCAAACATTCATTCTCATTTGGCCCAAATCCTCTTCCGTACATGACAGCAGCATCTCATGTATTTCATCATTTTAATCTTTTGCTCTTGTTTAACAAACAACTGCTATCAAACTCGTGTTAAGTAATATTGTACGTTTAATAAAACTTGTCCACGGTCAGTGATGAAGGAAGTATTCATCAGATATTGTACTTGAGTAAAAGTAGAAGTACCAGAGTGTAGGAATACTCTATTACACTTAAAAGTCCTGCATTCAAAATGTTAGTCAAGTAAAAGTATAACCATCAGAATATAATTAAATTACCAAAAGTAAAAGTAGTCATTATGCAGATTGCTCCATTTCAGAATGATATATATGATATGTTTTATAATGATTGATCATTAAAGTGTTCTCAAAGCTGGTAAAGGTGCAGCTAGTTTGAATGACTTTGTATACTGCAGGGTAGCTTATGAATTTACTCCAGGTGGAACTAAAGTCTGATTTAACACTTGATTATATTTCACATCATTCATCCTCATCTGTAAAGTAACTATTAGGGTATTTAATAAATGTACTGGTGTAAAAGTACACAATTTACCTCTGAATTGTTGTGGGGTAGAAGTACAAAGTAGCATACATTTGAAATACTCAAGTAAAGTACGACTCTCTCAAAATTGTACTTAAGTACAGTACTTGAGTAAATGTACTTAGTTACTTTACACAACTGTCCACATTCCGCTTGGTGTATCAGAGGATGTGACATTCACCAGGAGACAGTCTCCAGTCATGGAAGGATAATATTCATGTATGACCTATCCACGCCGACCATCAAGCAAATACCACTACAAATGGATTGAAATGAAACCGAGTCTGGTTTAATGGCGTTCTCCACACAAGGACAGTTCACATGTGAGGGTCTATCATAGTGAAGTAGTGTATGAAACTATTAATTTGTTGTATTACCTTTTTTAAATATACCCTTGCATCAGCACCAATACTGTTAGGGCTCCACAGCCTCTAGTAAAGACTATAGTTCTTCTATTCAGCATTCTCTTTTTGCATGATTTCATTAGGAATGTTTAATCCTAAATTAGGGGTAAGGTTTCTCTTCAAAGCTACCCTCTCCCTTTCATGTTATTTGATTCACTGTTACAATTGTCATTTGATACTTCACTCCCTGTATTAGATGACTCTTTAATCAGATCTGCATGGAGGCCTTTAATCCGTATTTAACTATGCTAATTGACACAAAACAGGGAGGGTTATGCACCTACAGATCATGCAAATATACTCTGCTCACTCAGTACAGCCACAGCCCTTCCATACTATTGAGCAGCAGCTCCTGTGGAACTTTGAGGTAATAAATGCCTTGCTCAAGGTTTTTTTCAGGATACGTTCTTTCAATCATCTATGTTAGGCAGCCTTTCTCGCTCAGCAGACTAATTTGTTCTAGCAGGTCACCCTTGAAAAAGAGATTGCAGGTCACCCTTGAAAAATAGATCTTTTGATCTCAAGGGGCTTTCACCTGGTTAAATAAAGGCTACAAACAAACGGCAACACGCACCTCTGAAGCCTATTGAATGTGTGCCTCCACCATGATTGGGGTGGAACAGTTTACAGGTCATGGTTCGTTACGTGTTTTGCTTTCGAGGGTCACGGTTCAGTGCATGTTGCCAGTGCAGCGTGCGGAAATATACCTGTGCCAGTTGGCTGTGTGTGTATTTGTGAAAACTAAACTAACATCTTATATGTATTTGTACATATGTACTCTCCTTTCAAGCAGGAAAAAAGTATAAACAATATTATATATATAATAAAAGAAAAATGCAAACGATCTGCAAATATACAAAGAAAATCTGTCAATACATTACTAGTAAAAGAAAAGCATTTTTGAATATCTTTCTAACATTTACAACTTTTTATCATTGAATACAGTTGTTATTACTGAATAAAATATGCATTTGTGGATCTCAATTCTACAATTGGCCATTTATGGATGGCACTTGAATGCAAATGGTTGGTTGAATTATTGGAGAGAAGAACATTTAGTTTAAAAATATTTGTTGTATTTGTGGAAGGTGTTTTTAATGTGCAGATGACATATTCACACCCTAATTGTTCTGTTCTCACAGACAAGGATAGACCACTATAGTTTACATGACTAATGTAAGGAAAAGATGGAAGGGAGGATTAGCCATCTCTTAACAGACAGATGGGACGAGCAGTTGTGGCTGCTTACTGCTGATGCTAATCTGAGAGACTGCAGCACATCTGTATCGTGAGTTCAACTGTTGCATTCAGGCTGAGGTGTTCTACAATGGACACGTTAAACATGATGAAGGAAGAGGCAGAAAGACCATGCTATGAGGAGTTGACTGCTGCTAACGTCGCTGCATTAAGTGCTCTAAACTTGCTCTCAGGTCACTACCATATTGGATGGATTGCCATGAAATTAAATGCACTCATTCTCCCCATAGTATGAATGATAAAATCCCCAAAACCTTATACCTGCAACTAGGGATGTCCCGATCACCTTTTTTTGCTCCCGATCCGATTCCGATCATTTGATTTTGACAATTTGCAGATACCGATCTTTCCTGATCCAATCTTTATGCAATGCATTAAGAGAAAAAAAAAAAAAAAAAGCATTCAAGTTGTCCCTTAAGGTTATTTTTTTAATTTAAATTGGATATTCTATCCAACATGGATATAGCTTCTTTTTTTCACAGCAGCATTGGATCAGTTCAGTTGTGCAGCATTGGATCAAAACAAAATAAAGCATAAGCTTTATTTTGTTTTGATCCAATGCTGCACAACTGAACTGATCCAATGCTGCTGTGAAAAAAAGAAGCTATATCCATGTTGGATAGAATATCCAATTTAANGTCAAAATGATCACAAGAACGGTGAGCAAAAATCCAAGAACCACACGGGGGGACCTAGTCAATGACCTGCAGAGAGCTGGGACCAAAGTAACAAAGGCTAAAATCATGTCCAGGCCCGTCTGAAGTTTGCTAGAGAGCATTTAGATGATCCAGAAGAGGATTGGGAGAATGTCATATAGTCAGATGAAACCAAAATAGAACTTTTTGGTAAAAACTCAACTAGACGTGTTTGGAGGAGAAAGAATGCTGAGTTGCATCCAAAGAACACCATACCTACTGTGAAACATGGGGGTGGAAACATCATGCTTTGGGGCTGTTTTTCTGCAAAGGGACCAGGTCGACTGATCCGTGTAAAGGAAAGAATGAATGGGGCCATGTATCGTGAGATTTTGAGTGACAACCTCCTTCCATTAGCAAGGGCATTGAAGATGAAACGTGGCTGGGTCTTTCAGCATGACAATGATCCCAAACACACCGCCCGGGCAACGAAGGAGTGGCTTCGTAAGAAGCATTTCAAGGTCCTGGAGTGGCCTAGCCAGTCTCCAGATCTCAACCCCATAGAAAATCTTTGGAGGGAGTTGAAAGTCTGTGTTGCCCAGTGACAGCGCCAAAACATCACTGCTCTAGAGGAGATCTGCATGGAGGAATGGGCCAAAATACCAGCAACAGTGTGAAAACCTTGTGAAGACTTACAGAAAACGTTTGACCTCTGTCATTGCCAACAAAGGGTATACAACAAAGTATTGAGATGAACTTTTGTTATTGACCAAATACTTATTTTACACCATCATTCGCAATAAATTATTTAAAAATCAGACAATGTGATTTTCTGGTTCTTTTTTTCTCATTCTGTCTCTCATAGTTGAGGTATACCTAGGATGAAAATTACAGGCCTCTCTCATCTTTTTAAGTGGGAGAACTTGCACAATTGGTGGCTGACTAAATACTTTTTTGCCCCACTGTACATCGCTGCAGTTATTATCCAGTGGAAAGTCCTTACCTACTGGCCTAGTTAAATCAAAGTGGTTACTTTTTTTTGGCTGGGCAGTGAAGTTTTACACACCGTCTTATTTGACTTTCTCAGGACTTGAAACAGTTTTTTGGGCGCCAGCAAAAATCTCGCCTCAGGCAGCAAATTGTCTAGAACCGGCCCTGCACACAACACACCCTACCTTCCTGTTAGCATCCAGGTTGGCAGCAGGTATCTGCAGCGTGACCAGGTACTCCGTCCTCTTGCTCATCTCCTCGGCGATGAACCCGGCCTCCTGAGCCAGCAGGTTGGCCCGCACGATCTGCTCCCTGAGGCGCCGCAGGCTGCGAGTCATCATCGCTTCTCTGAGACACACACACAAGTTTACAAAGCATCTGATGAATGTGATGAATGTATGTTTCTCCTTTAAAGACAACAGGGGTCAGTTAAAGTGTCGCATTCTTAGAAGTTCCCAGAAACAGCGGTAAAAAGAAGTTTGGTGAGGCAGCTTTCATTTACTAAGCCCCAAAGCTATGGAACAAAATACCTGTAGAGGGGAAGCCAGCTTGGTGGAAGTCTTTAAAAAAAACTCATAACACATTTGTACAATTTAGCCTTTTTGGAAGCTAACTCTTCTTTAACCTGTCACCTGATAGTGTGTTTTGCACTATCCTCCTTTTAATGCACAATTTCATCATTGTACCTTTAATCTAAATTCATTTTTGATATGTCTACTGTATGCTATTTTTTGTTTGTTTTATGTCTTTTACTGGTAATTGTATTCTATGTCTATGTGAAGCACTTTGAACTGCACGTATTGTATGAAAGGTGCTATACAAATAAAGATTATTATGATTATTATGATTATCCTCCCGTTGTCTCTCACCTGTCCTCGCTCCAGCGGCGCATGCGTTTCTGGGAGATGTGTGACGTTGCAGCAGCTCCTGCAGGGTCCAGCAGGTGAGAGGGTTTCTCCGGAGTCAGCCTCTGGCGGAGCTGCTGCAGCTCCTGCTCGTATATCAGCCTCTGACGCTCCAGGGCGCAGCGCTTCTCCTCCTCATGCTGCCTCTCCAGGGTCTGCAGCACCGACTGCAGGGGGTCTGAGGGGGAGGAGGAGGAGGGGCCGCAGGAGGGACAGAGAGGAAAGGGAGGGAGGAGTGGGAAGAAGTTTAGAGTTTGCAATTCTTTCCTATCAAATGAAAATTAGCATCAATAAAAACTGTTAAAATGAAAAGTCCTTGTCTTTGTTTAGTCAACAACTTGGAACTGCTTCAAAAGGATGCACTCAGGAAAATCCAAAATGTCCCACATTAAAGTCGTCTGTGCAGGATTTACACAACCAGGACATTGTGAGAAATATATAATTACCTGTCCCACATTAAAAACATTCGGGGTTATATTTCGATTATTCTGCACACAAGCTGTTACCTGCTGGAGTTACTTGATGGACATTGTGTGATACAACTGTAACATCTGGATGGATAGGAATAAAGCTAGTCACAGATGTGACAATGACTCAACAAGTATTGTGTGTATTTCCAAAGTGACCCATTACTACAGATGTATATCTTCAGGACCAAAGGGCTTTGGGGCAGAGTGCCAGGGGACAGGGCAGGGAACAAATTGGTCTTTTCCTGGGATTTGTTGACACTGGTTGTCCTTAAGTCATTTGTGAAAAAGTTGACAGAACTAAAAGTTATTTTGGTGCCAACTGCCAACAGCCACTTTCAATGACATGCTCCACAGATATGACATGAGTTAGATGGGTGAGGAGGACATAAAAACACGAGGGGGTCTCTGCTTCAATGTTTCCACTCCCATGACAAGTATATTTAGACCTTTAACCAAATCTATCGTTTATGGTGTGGCATTTACAGAAATCTACCACAGTGTTTCCATTGAATCATTATGCCTCTTGGTGTTTGTTGTTTATCTAATATTACCATGTTAATAACAGAAACAGATAGCGTAGCATTTTGCTGCCCTGACTCATGGTTATTACTTAGAAACTACCAAGTGTTTACAAGTAACAATTACAGCATTGATCACACCATTTATAGTTTTACTTTAAGATAAGGGTTGATGCATTCAGCACTATAATATGGTTTATGACCAATTTCTGTGTGATTTGGAAGGTTTTAGACACATTAACTAAAATGTAAAGAAAAACTAAAATGATATTGCACCATAATTATAACGTATTTACCCTATTTATTTCACTTTATAACCATTTTAATCCAAATCTTGCAATAATATTACTATGTTATTGTTAGCTGGTTACCATAATATTACCAACATATCATTATACTATTAATTTATTTTAGTCGTTTGCCTTGTTGCTATCTTTACAGTAAATGTGTTTCATTACAATACATATTTGTATATATATTTATTATAACAAATATTATATAATTATTAATTATACATTTTTTGCCCGTTTGTACCCTTTTACAAACTTTTAATTCCAAAAATACACAGAAATACCCATTATTAATACCAAGGTATTACCTGGTCATACTCTAATTATTTCCACCTTATTATACAACTATGACTTCACGGTAAAGATGTCCCGATCCGATCACGTGATCGGGGATCGGAGCCGATCACGTGATTTTCAAATCGGGAGAAAAAAGATCGGGGATCGGGATTTTTTTCTTTTTTTATAAATACTTTTTTTTAAATGTTGTATTCAATGTTACAAAACAAAAATGACCATGTTCAAGTCTTAAAGTCATCCTGAGGCCTTAGTTTTGGTTTCAATTTACACAACATCATGTATGTGTTGCTTCTTTGGGGCTTGTTTTCATAGACCTGGTTGCTTATTTCTCTCAAATCTGGCAACAGAGTGGGCAGGGCGCAGTGTCTAATTGTAGCAGTAAGCTAACGAGTACTGAAAGCTTTGTTTTGTTTTGATCCAATGATGCACAACTGAACTGATCCAATGCTGCTGTGAAAGAAAGAAGCTATATCCATGTTGGATAGAATATCCAATTTAAATAAGAAAAAATAACCTTAAGGGACAACTTGAATGCTTTTTTTTCTCTTAATGCATAGCATAAAGATCGGATCGGGAAAAATCGGTATCGGCAAATTGTCAAAATCAAATGATCGGAATCGGATCGGGAGCAAAAAAAGGTGATCGGGACATCCCTACTGCACTGTAAGAATGTTTTTACCGAGCTTTAATGTAAAGTGCTATCAGTAAGTCAAATCAATGTGAAATGTCTCACACATGCATACTTTTTGAGATCCTTTTTTAAAGAGTTGTATAGACACAATATCAGTTAGCTGTGTAAAAATGCTGAGTCATGCATCGTCACTATATTTATTTACCATAACTGCCAACCTAAAAACACGCTCTGAGGAAGTTAAACGCATCCGCATGTATTTTACTGTATCATATGAAATAAGCATATGTTCATATTGTTTATATCAAAGCGCTCATTCATCACCTCTCAGAGTGACTCACCGTTGTTGCCCATGCCTTTCATCATGACTTCGGCCTGAGCAAACTCGTATCCGAAGCTGAGCTCGCTGGAAACGTCGCTGGACGTGTCAAAGTCCACCTCCAGCTGGTCGCTGCTCAGACACGTCTTCATCACCCCCTCCTCATCCTCAGCCCCTGTGTGCACCATGTGCCTCGGCAGGCTGATCCTGTGTGCGTCCATCAGCAGGCGGTGTGTATTGATGTATGTAACAAAGTGGGTGACAGAAGAGGAAGTGTTACAAAAATAGGAAGAGACACAATGAAGTGTTTTTGATCACATGTAAATGCATGCTGTAGAAACATGTGGGGTTCAGCTCTATATCTGTGTGATCGTTCACTTCGAGTAAACACTGTAGGTGAAGCAGACCTGAAGAAGTGGTTGTTCCCCCACAGTATACGGTCACCATGGTGAAGCTGGACCGGACTGGTGACTGCAGCACCGTTCACACACGTTCTACAGGTGGCAAAAGAAGATATATGCAACATGAGAAAAGATGATAGTTTACATGGTCAACTACTGAAAACAATGAACATTGCTTACATTACTCATCTGGTAGCATTTAATACTTAGTCAGGTCCATATCCTTCTTATTTCCTGTTTCTATGTAAACTAGAAGAGACACTTATTGATTCGGATAATTTCCCTTCCTACTTTGAAACAAATGGTTTTGTATTAAAATGTGTATTTCCTAAAGTACGGTATCTCATGGAAAGATTCCCTTTTCAAATTGCTGTCAGACTGGAGAATATCTTCTGCTTGAGCAAGACTCGGTTAGACATAAGGACAAAACCATACCAGATTGAGCAAAGTGTAGAACAAAAAGTTGAATTTCTCTGTAAGAGTCCTTTTCAAAGTGCTATCAAATTCTAATAAGAACAATTTGAGCCTGTCAATGGCAACATTAAGCATTTTAAATGGACAACCTTTATGGTGCAGAATTTCCTCAAATAATTAGATTGCAGCCCATTTAGTGCAGTGCTCTTGCTCAATTGACCAATTTCAAAAATAATTGTCCTCATTAGACATATGTCACATAACATGAAAAAATAGGGTTCAGGTTGAAAAATAAAGAAGTTACCCTTTGACTTAAATATCTATTAGCACAGCTTTAAATGCAAGTGCTACCATCTATGACCCTTGCTGTCAGTTCTTATAATCTAGTGCTTGGTGTTTCGATCTAAAAGTGATTTCTCAGCATGGAAAGAATTTCCATATCTTGTCAAAAATATGAGAAAGTAAAATCAGCGGTGCACAGAGAGCTCCTCTGTGAATCAATGATAGATGTTGTTGACTGAGGTGAGCACATACCGAGCGTTGCGGTGAGGAGTGAGCATCACCCCGCTGCTCTCTGTGATGTCCATGACACAGTGCTCCGCCTGGATGGCCATCCCACACAGCTGGATGTCCTGAGAGTTAGCTGAGCCCACCCGCGTGTGCTCCTGGATCACGGGAGGAAGAAACATACATATCTTGTAAATACGCAGCTTCTATTTGGGGTTTTTAAATGAAGGTTTGAACGTTTTCAGTCTTATGCTCATTTACTGGCGTTAGACAGAATAATGCTGCGCTGCATTTTAGTGTTGATTAAAAACGATTTGGTACAGCCCTAGTTTACATCTGGTGTGCCCCTCTGTAGTTCAGCCTACAGTGTGTACAGTAAAGAGCACTGGACTGTGTATCAGGTACCTTCAGATAGTACACCAGCAGCTCGTTGAGGGCGGGGTCAGCGTTGAGGTTGACCAGGAAACACTTGTCATCCACAACTCTGATTCCAGACGACTGCAGGGAGATGCCCAGATTCTCCAGCTGCCTCTGACGCTCCTACAGGAAACATACATACAACATTTGAATACAACAGCCGATAAGTTGACTATTCTGTTCTTTAGCTGCGAGAGAAATGTTAGAGTGAAAACAAAAGGAGCTATAGTAACGGCCCCTACACACGGCGGCGTGCATTGTCGCTTGCTGGCGGGGGGGGCTGAAACTCGACCAACAACCAATCACATGAATCTCCCGCCCCAGACACACAACCACGCGGTTTGATTGGCTAGAGCTTGTACTGGCATATGATTCGATTGGCTGACGCCTCTATCGAGGCGTCAAAAGTAGAACATTGCTCTACTTTTGCAGCGAGCACCGCGAGAGAAGCTACGCTTTGCTCCCACAATGCAGTTCGGCGAATCGTGACGTCACCCCATTCAAAGTGAATGGGCAGAAGCGTTGAAGCGGCAACGCACGCCGCCATGTGTAGGGGCCGTAAGAATAGAGTCTTTTCTCTGTGTGTGCAGAGATGACTCAGAAGTTAGCATCCCAAGTGCACCCTCGATGTAAAGCATTTTCTATTGGATTTCAGAATATAACCGAGAATAAGATGTGGATAATCTCTATATATTAACACCACAGGGTATATGCAGAAATCCTGGGGTCAAATTTAATACCTTTTAGAGACCTCTTTTTAACGGACCCTTTCTACATTTTAAGACTATATCGCCCAACTTTGGTTCGCTAACCGGTTACATTTGGCGCCACACTTTACCTGCACATTACTATATTGCATTGTAGAGTAGCTAAAACTAAACAGGAGTTGCAGAGCATGCATTACTGAGGCCTCCCTTCCTACATGAACTTCAACCTGGCTGATCCTGTGAAGGGTCAGGGTTTTAATGCCAGTTATGCTGACTTTGTGCCACTTCTGTACTCTTGTGGCTCTTCATTCCAGTAAAACTCGCTCAGAACAGTTAGAAGACCAGTATTGTTGACCAATAAACGCAACAATGCGACAAAACTTGAACTATGGAATTATATATAACTTTGGTGAGCTTCAGCGGGGGTAATGTCATAGAGAGCTCTCCTCAACAAATACCAGGGATTAAATTGGGGCTGGGCTTTCCGGGGTAAGCCCGGCACATAGAACGATGCTATGATCGTCACACCCTCCAGCACATTTGTCATATGATTTACATGAAAACAGGATATATATGTTCTCTGCTCGCGCGGTCTGTGAAGGTATAGAC